AAGAAATGTTCAAATGGAAAAAAGAGATCGGCCATTTTCTAAAATTTTATTCAGATTCAGTATAGAAATTTCCAAATAACAAAAATACTCCTAGAGGATCTTCTGTGTATGGCTGTCAATATGACACAAACAATTAAGCACAAGCATTTGGCATTGATAAGATACTGAATAAACACTGCTTTAAAAAAAAAAAAAAAAAAAAAGTTGTTATAAAACCATATTCACATTTTAGATACCTGAAAAAGAAAAATGCACTTTTCATGAATTTGAAAAATCAGCAACTGAATTTTAAGTATGACTCATAGTTACAGTCCATAAAGTGTCATGCCATTTTCTTGTTTTTTACTAATAGGAACTAGAGGCAGAACGAATTAAACTCATGGAAGATGTAACTTTTAATAAGAGGAAGATGAAAGAACTGGAAGACAATATTCTGTACAAACTAAGTGCAACCAGAGGTTCTGTATCAAAGTGTAAAAGAACCAGGATTAAGCAGATTAGGCAGATTAAGCTGATTCACATTAGAACCTTTCCATACCAAAATTGATTTGTCCATCCAATATACAATAAAAGAACATCCAGTGGTAGAAATTTAAAGTATGGTGATTTACTGGTGTATGAGGGATTTGGTACTATAGCATGCCACTATATGCAACCCTAGACACTAAGTATTTTTAACACCTAAACAAGTTTTGTGAAACAAATCAATTTCTTGAGAGCTTTCTGCCCCTCAACTGAGATAAGGTATGTGATCATGGGCAAATCCTTAACCCATTGAAAAGGCAAAATAAAATGGGCTAGCTTAAAAGGTGTTGGAAGTTTTTTGCCTGCACTTGACCAATTACTGTCTCTTTGCTGGAAAAAGAAGGTGTAACTTCCAGTAAATCGATCAGTAAGTACTTGAGATGCATGAATACTGATGTGTGACCATTGCCTTTAGGACCCTAAGTCTTTTTGACTTTGAGTGTACCAATCAACAGACTTTAAAATAATTGAAGTACTGTGTTATGAATATGTATGTTATGTGCATAAGAAACCTGACTTCCCTAGTACATGCTGCAAAGCTGTTGGTATGGATACATTCATATTGACATAGATTGAATGCATTTGTTTAGCATGTTGAATACAAAAATAATTTTTAGTGTTGCTTATCCTGTTTGGTCTCCATTTCAAAAACTTTCTGCAATTCAGTAAATCATTTCCATTTGTTATAATTCCTGTAATTTGGCCTTTTAATTCTTACATATATGAAGTGAAAAAATTGTTATAAAAATGTCCTAAATATTCAATATTTGACTTTTTAGGTTCACTAATAGATGATGAATCCTTGATTGGTGTTCTGCAAACAACTAAGCAAACAGCTGCTGAAGTAGCTGAAAAGTTGTCTGTGGCAGCAGAAACTGAAGTGAAGATCAACACTGCTCAGGAGGAATATCGACCTGCTGCTACACGTGGAAGCATTCTTTATTTTCTTATTACAGAAATGAGCATGGTCAATAATATGTATCAAACTTCACTGGCTCAGTTCTTGAAGTTATTTGATCAATCCATGGCCAAGTAGGAAGACACAGATTTTTCTACAATTCAGATGTTTGTCTTTCCAATGTATTTGCTGTTATTAACATGCTTTCTTTGTGCTTTGTTTTCGTAATTTAGATCTAAGAAGTCTCCTTTGCCTCAGAAAAGAATCTCAAATATTATTAAGTATCTTACCTTTGAAATCTATTCATATTCTGTTAGAGGCTTGTATGAAAACCACAAATTCCTCTTTACCCTCCTCCTGACATTAAAAATTGATCTTGAGAGAGGACATGTGAAAAACAGAGAGTTCCTTGCACTCATTAGAGGTAAGTTTAAAAAATTGTGTTATATTTAGAGCTAATTTCAACTTTTTAAACTTTTATACCATTTCAATGTATGCTTTTTTTTGGCTGCATGGTTTCTACCATGCAGTTCTGTGGAAGCTGCCTCTGTCCTTATCCCTGCTGTGATCCAGTGAAGTTAGATGCAGTTCCCCATCACAGTTCTACCTTCGCCATTTACCCAGTCTGTTTTCTATCCTGAGATCAAGATGATAGTTCTGCTTCTCTCCATCAATTGGTTTAATAATTGTATATTTTTGTATTATATTTATATCCTTACTTTTATAAATTAGGTGACTTCTTGCTCCTTTGTTTCTCTGCTTTGACGGAGCTGAATAAAGCTATTGCCAGAACAATTCCACATAAAGTCCAGGAGGTGATACAGTCTTTTATCAGTTTCAGCTTGAGGTTCCTCTGACTTTTGCCAACCAGCTAACACTGACTTTTAGAGAATATGATGTGTTTCTGTGGCCCAACTGGCCAGGTCTGCCTCCTCTGTACCCTGTGAATATGTGCCTCCGCTGAAAAATGCTATCAGGATTGCTTATGCGGAGGTCCGTGTAAAACCTGTTTGAATTTTACAGTGTTCAAATGAATCTTGCAAAGGTCTAATGTCAAAGTAATGAACCTAGATTTGAAGATCATTATCTGCCTTTAATGAATAAAATGGATAAGAAAGAAGATTAAATTCACTCTCTGTTTTGCTTGCCAGTTTGTCGTAATGGTTTTATGCTTTGAGAATGGTATCCAGCTACCAATTTACCACTGATGTCAGGCAGGGCATGCTTGGAAATACTTTCAAAATGAACTGTCTGCTTCAGTAAAGCATTAGACAAGGAACCATATTTCTTGGCTTCTCAGCTCATGGATTCTTGTTTTGCCAGAGTAAAATATACCTTGGGCATTTGAAGCAGAAGGTAGTCACTTACCCCTTTCTAACTGATGAGAATCTGTAATAAAATACAGGAGTACTTTTTGCAATTTTTGTCTAGAACATATGATTACAGTTTCCTGCCTAGCTTTACTACAGTTGATTTGATAGTGAGAAATTCTTCTGGTGTATAAAATGACACCAAAATAACAATAGTTTTTCTATAATTATTCACATGATATTAAATAAGATTGGGAAATGGGCAGATGCCTAGCCAAATTGCCCTGGACTCTTAGGTATTTCTGCAATGAACTAATTTTTCAATTTTCCTCCTTGGATGAGCAGTTCTTGGTGCAAAATGAATTCCATGTTACCAAACATCACTGGGCAGCTGAAGAAAGGATTTATTTGAAAAATAAATCTCTCTTCCTCTTCTTTCCATTTCTTTTCCAGGAGGGCTTTCATGGCTTATCATCAGCCATATTATCAGGGGATGTCTCAGTGAAATAAGCATTGCTATTTGAAATGAAAAAGTCTCTAGAACTCATTATTCAGCTAGTCTCAGGAGATTATCAACTCTGAATCTTTTTTATTAAAACAATAGAAAGAAACAAAATCCAAAAGATACGAGAAAATTGAAGGAGTTAATTGATAATTTTGTAGGTATCTTGACGCTTAGGTAGGCTGTGTCCTTTACCAGTAGAAAGTGGGGGACTGGCACAATGGGGAATATGATCTTCTCTAGCAGAAAATACATTTTGCTAAGAAGGTCCATAAATATTAGAGAGCATGTTACAGAGAAATTGCAAAACATCTTTGCTTTGTTGACTTAAAAGTCAGAAATATTCCCAAGTATGCTATTTTGTGGACAATTAATGATTATGTCTTAAAATTAAGAAAAGTCTTTTTGGCTAAAGTGATTGTGATTCTCTCACAGAATTCAACAATTTGCAAAAATATTCCTGTTGGCCTATTGTATTAAATTTGCAAAAGTTGTGATTCTGGAACAGGGTATAATTTTGTATAATGCTAATAACGGATTACAGATTTCTGTAAACACTTTTCGTTATCCTCTTTTGGTTTCCATTATTTCACTTTGCAGACAGTAAGAGGAAGCTCTGGGATCCATACATAGATCCCAGGCAGATATTTCAAACTATATATCCTAAGGCCAAAGATGTAAGAGGATGCTTGAAGGAAACTTTAACGTAGTTACAGGAAATGCAGGAAAATCGGTATTTGCACCTCAGATTTCATGAAGTGGCCCTGTCTTTCTGTGAGGTTACGGAAGCTTTTCACCCCTGAGGTGAAGGGAAGGAGAAAAAGCACAACAGTAGGAAAACTTCATAATAAAAGCACATGAAGTAGCTTTACATTTTTGCATGACGGAAATAATTTGGATTTGTACATAGGAGCTTCACATTCTTGAACAAGAGTTTGCCCTTTATTTGTCCCTTCAGTAGTTCGTGAAAAGATTCAAATCATATATTAATCATATCTAATTCTGTTTCCTGATTATATCTAACTGTATCCATATGTGGAAGAAACCATTGCACAAATTTGTCTAGATGCTGGAACTTTTCACATATGTCTATAAATGTGTCCTGGTTTCAGCTGGGGTAGAGTTAATTTTCTTCCTAGTAGCTGGCATAGTGCTGTGTTTTGGATTTAGCATAAGATTAATGTGATAACACACTGATGTTTTAGTTGTTGCTAAGTAGTGTTTATGCTAGTCAAGGACTTTTCAGCTTCCCATGCTCTGCCAGGTGCACTGGGAGGGGGCACAGCCAGGACAGCTGACCCAGACTGACCAAAGGGCTATTCCATACCATATGATGTCATGCTCAGTATATAAACTGGGGGGAGTTGGCCAGGGGACAGAGATCGCTGCTCGGGGACTGGCTGGGCATCAGTCAGTGGGTGGTGAGCAATTGCACTGTGCATCTCTTTGTTTGTATATTCTTTTATCGTTGTTGTTGTTGTTGTTATTATTATTATTATTATTACTACTTTCTCTTCCTTTGATGTCCTATTAAACTACCTTCATCTTAACCCACGGGTTTTACTTTTTTTTCCGATTCTCTCCCCCATCCCACCGGCAAGGGGGAGAGTGAGCAAGCGGCTGTGTGGTGCTTAGTTGCTGACTGGGGTTAAACCATGACAAAATGGCAAAATGAAAACTAATAAAAGGAAAGGCTTTTTCAGGCATTGCATATTTAACTCATTAACATAAGAAATGATTGACTATAAGAACTTAGCAGGATTTATCAAAAGATTAGGTATTTATATTAATAGCAAGAATATCAAGTATTACAATGAGAAGCGCATTGTTTACACTTTTGTAATTCTCATTCTTCATTGAATAAGTCTGCCTCAAAAAATGAAAGTTTAAAAATTTCCCCAAAAGCAAAAACTTCCCTAAGATCTGTTTACTGCCCACTCATTGAAACTTTGACTTTCTTTTGATGTTAATTGTTCCTGTTGGCATACTAATGTCCAGATTCAGCAAGGTGATTCTTTTGTTTCTACTTACAGATATTCAGGTAGCTAGGAAAATATTTAGTCTTTCTGAATCATGTGTTTATTCTTTTAAAAGAAGCAGAGCTGCTGTTTCCTGAAAATCATCACTGATAATATAAATAAAATTCTTGCATCCTGGAAGCTTCCAGGAAAACATCTCAAAGAATCAAATCTTATCCTGTAAAGTCTATAATGCAAGCAGAACAGAAGAATTTGTTGTATTAGAGCATTTGCAGCACCATAAACTCTTTCCTGTAATGTGTCAGAACTTTAAAGCCAGTCTTAGTTCTTCAGCTGCATCAAAAATACTATATATAATGTCTTCCCAATAATTTCTTAAATAACAAAATTTGTGCTTTATTTAAGAAATCAATATTCTAATGTGCTTTTCACTCCAACGATAAGTTTATCTTCCATTCTTTTCCTTCTTGCTTTTATGATTGATTTTCTCTACATCCCGTTCATGGAGAACTGGAGGATGAGGTGGGTGCAGAATAAGAAAAAAGATCTCTGTTAAAACGTCTTGATAATCTATGGAATAATTGGACACAGTTTGTAAAAGTATTAATATATTAATTGAAGAGGAACTACATGTATATTTATGTATGTAGTTTTTGGTGAGCATGTATGTATAATTTGGAAGTATTTAAATAATTACAGCTCATATATATAGATATGCATACACAGACATACATGCTCACATACATATAAGTGCTTAAAAATAATAGTTATTATTCCAAGGTAATTTTTTTAGTTTGCTTGTAACGAGTTGATGAAATTCATTATACCTACCGGTGACCTAAATGAATAAATTATCTTAGTTCTGGAGACCACTGGAAAAAACACCCTCTAGTTTTCCAAGAAGTGGCATTAATTACTTTGTGGAGGACTGGGGAAAAGGCAGCTACAACAAGAAGAAAATTATGATAAAAAGTTAATTATGATAAAAAGTTAAAAGTTAATCTGTTTAAAATGGGATTGCAGTCTTAACCCAGAGGTGTTCCTTTGTATTTCCTCTTCAAATGCATATCAGAGGATGTGAAATGTGTACTATCTACTTGCTATCTGGGCTTATATATGTTATTTTAAATGATTTGTGCTTGCTAGTCTGGTCTCAGATTGATTGATTCCATCAGTCCAGAGTTTCTTTCTTCTCTTGTTGTGTTTGGTTTGGGTTTTTTCTTTCCCAATGATCCCAGGAGATTACTTTGCTAAGATGTGTAACATTCTTTAGATATTATAACTATGCATTTCGTTAGAGAAGAGGTAGAATATTGCAGATGAGAAAATAAGACTTTTCTTCCAATTTCTTTTCTTTTTAGGAATAGAGGGATAGAGTATAGACTGTCTAAAGGAAGGTATTCAGAGGAATATTTTTATCTTTCAGATATACACAAAATTATCTTTACTGTATTATCAGCACAGATGAAAAGGAAAAGATATTATTAAAGAATTTCCCATTCTTCAAATAGAATCAATATCACTGTATAAACTTATAACAACAAACTATATAGAGCACATGATCTAAGATGAAAGGCTGAAAGAACTGGGCTTGTTCAGCTTAGAGAACAGAAAGCTTAGGGGAGACCCAATAGTAGCCTTCCAACAGCTATGAGAAGGCCATTAAGAAGACAGAGCCTGGCTCTTCACAGTGGTGCACAGTAGGAAGACAAGAGACAACAGAAATAAACTGGAAAAAAAGAGAGGTTCAGAGTGGGTGTAAGAGGAATTTTTTTCATTATGAGGACAGACAAATATTAGAACACATTGTCTAGAAAAGTTGTACAGCCTCCATGCTTGGCAGTTTTCAAGATCAGACAGAACAAAGACCTGATTTTATCTCATAGCTGACCCTGCTTTGGACAGGTTGGACTGAGATCTCCTGAGGTCCCTTCCAGACTAAATTATCCTTTTATCTTGATGAAATAAATGCTAAGTACACAAGAGTGCATTTAGTACCCTGGTGAAAATTACATGGGCCAGAAAACATAATTTAAAAAGAAATGTCAAATATATCTTGACCCCTGGAATGTCATGTTTATTTCATCAGAATGTTTTGATCTACAGGAGGTGCAGCATTGGATCTACAGGCTTGCCCACCTAAACCTTTCCGCTGGATTCTTGACGTAACATGGCTAAACCTAGTGGAATTGAGCAAACTTCCACAGTTCGCAGAAATTTTGAATCAGGTGATATCTACTAATTATCTTTTTAATGTTAATAACCAGTTTCCCAATCATAATTATGCTCCCATATTTTACACTTAGAATGCACAAGAGATGTAGTTAAGAACAAGGCCAGAGAGAATACAGAATAAAGGCATAGAAATGAACAGTTAGGTGGCATGAATGAGGGTATATTTATTTGCTCTACGGAGTTATATTTATTTCCTCTACCCTTTTTTTTTTTTTTTATCTGCTTTACTGTATTTTGTATCATAGTCATTGAGGTAGAAAGAGAACAGGAGCAAAGAACTAGTAAAAAAGGAAGCCAGTGAAAGAAAGACAGAAATAAGGAGAGAGGATAAACAAAGTAGAGGTATCAAAAAGGCTCAGAAAGTTAATCTATGAGTGTCAGGTTTTAAGTTACAATGTTTTATGTCTTGAGTCTGATGGACTTTTACAAGTAAATTGTTTGCTGCTTGTTTTTAAAGACTCATTTCCATTCCAAGGTTAATATGTCATTCAGATATGATGAGCTAGCTATGAAAATACTATTTTTTTTATTAAGACATACATGAACTTATATGCACATAAGCTTGTTACATATTTATAAATTATTTTCTTTACTTTGGTAAATTTATCTTTTTTTAGTGTAGTTAAAACACTCCCTAAGTATTTATCTTCCTGTACCTCCTAAGCACTCCTTGTTAATCAGGCTGATAGCCATGACACCAAGTTCTTGCTGTTACACCATTGGTCAGCCAAGTCCATTTTGTGACAGCATTTAGTGCCCTGAAGCATAGCAGAGATTTTATCTACATGGTGTACCTGGAAGTGGTCCTGGCTGTTTCCCAACTCTGTATCAAGGCAAGATATGGATACATCCCAGCCCATTTCCTCCAGGTGTTGGTTTCTGGAGGTATCAAAACAGGATATTGAGTTAGGAGAAGGTTGGAGGAATTCTAGTTAGGCCTTCACTCTAGGTTGTTAGGGCACCAGAACCCAAAATGCATGCCACTGCACACTTGCTAACACTATTTAAATTTAGCCATGGGGTTATGAATTATGTATGTTCCTTTTAATTTATAGATTGTAACGGTTCTGTTATAGGACTTTTCTAGAATTGGTGCAAACAAAATTTTAGACTCCAAAATACTTAGATGGCCATGTTACCCTCTTTTTTTTAACTAGTCTTTTACCACTAACATAAAATTCTTAATATTTACAAGTTGAAAAGTGGCAATTAGGTGATTTTAGTAATAGATAGAGATGGAATCTGGGAGGGTGCCAACTAGGATATGAATAAAAAATGCAAATATGGAAATAACATCTTTTTAATACTTACTTGCATCCATTAGATATGCTGTTCTATTTGGCTCATCATATTAAATACAACTGTTCACTATTCATTTAGATACAAACAGAAAATGATCTAAAGTAAGGAAAAAAAGCTTGTAAATGGTATGTCCAGTTCTCAAGGGGTTGCATGTGATACTCTTTTTTTCTTGCCAGTTACAAATCTTTTTCTTCTCTAAAGATTAAGTCCTGCAGTCCTGGATGCCTAACTTAATATTAAGACCTATTCCTCTTTAAACATTTAGATGACCCTGTTTCTTTTCACACTGTTACTACTTCCAGCTGTGGTTGAGTGAGAGGTGGTAAAAAGAAATATGTAATGAAAGCTTAATGATTTTACTGAGTCAACTAAAGTCCCTTTAGCTCAGTAACCTATCTCTGGCCATGGCCTAGCTTTGAGAAGGTACCTCCTCTGAATAATCTCCTAGCATGTGCTCAGGTTGATGTCAGTTAATGAAGAACTGATCTATTTGCCTATAAAGTAACTTTTTTTCTCAGACTTGGATTATAGTTCAGAAAGGGACATTTGGTGTTTATGAATCTCTCTGAATGAGTTTCATTATAGGAAACGTGGTTGGAAGAGGTCCCTGTATGTTCGTTTCTCACTCCTCTCCCAGTCCTTGCTTGGTGTCGGTTCTTCTGAAACTACTTCTATTTGAAACCAAGTCAGTCAACTGGACAGAGCACCTTGGTTTATAATAGGCATATAGAACTGCATTTCAGAACATATATGGTATCAGTGTGTTCTTTGTTCTCTTTCCAGCGATCCGAGAATATTGCAGTAGCTGACTCTTCTCAGTCAGTGCATTAAAAGCTCAACTGCATAGCAATTTTCACTATGTTCTGTCCACCAGTATCCCTTGTCCTACTAGATCATGGGTTCTAAGAGGTGCCTAAATAATGATCATATTTGTGGTCAGATTTTTTCTTTCTCAAGTCAAAAGCTTACTAGAGTCTGTTATTTTTAATTTGTGATTCTTTGGCTGGCTAGACTGTACTGGGACAGATTTTTCTGTTCCTCTTAGTACTTTGTGATCCGAAGGAATAAATTAATCACAGTATGTTTCTCTTGTAGTATAGAATCCTTCTGCTAATTATTGATTTTTCTTAGGTAGCTGCATGTGTTTGGGAGGGGAATCCATGGATAACCGATTAGCTTAAAAGTCTGCATCTTAATACTAAAATTTCTAGTTGTAATATCTTAATAGCAATTCGCATGGCATATGTTTTAAATGCTATAGATTCTTAATGTTACTTGTAATATATCCTAATATAATAATAGACTCCCATTAAAATAGATATTTACAAGGGGGTTTTGCTACAGCTGAAATATATTAATATGTGCGTTAATGTAATAAATTTAGATAGCCTGTAATGAAAAGGGATGGAAAAGTTGGTTTGATAAAGATGCTCCTGAGGAAGAAATTATACCCGATGGATACAATGATTCACTTGATACCCTTCGCAAGCTTTTACTCATCAGGTGAGCAGCTTCAGAAAACTGGGAGATGCATACGTGGTTGCATTATGTGTCACAGTCTATTGGTATATTATTATCGTAATAGCATAATTTTTATTAATTTCTGGATGACATGAAATATTATTTAATTCACTTACATAAAATATGATTTAATTCACTCACTTTGGAGCTATCCTCTGAAGAGTCTAAAAAAGTTCTTTCTAGAAAATATTTTTTATAGCTTTGCTTTTAAGTCATGACAAATAGAAACTGGGAACCTCATTGCAGCCTCATCCAAAAAGCCACTCAAAAAGTAGAATAATCCAGATAGTTTTCAAAATTATTTTTTTCATTTCTTTTAAAATGAACTCTTTTAAATAACTTTAAACAAGTAATTAAAAAAAAAGGAGAGATTTGTGAAAATGCAAAAGAGGTATTTAAAAGCCCCATGTGAGAAGTGTGCTATGAATTATTTTATTGCATCAGCTAAGATCTCTGTGATAGACTTGGGATAGAATGGAGTTCTGCAAAGCAGCATTCAGCTGCCTAATACACGAGATCATGTTTTCCTACATTCATCGTATACTTTCAAAATGCTACAACAAATAAATCAGAGACACTACAAAAAAACCCAACAACATTAATTACTAGGCCATGATTTGTCTTTGAAGTGGATTCAACCTGTGCAGTAAAAAAGACCAGAATCTGATGGAAGAAGTACTATAATGTTCTATGCTATACACCCTGAAGGGGGAGGGGGAGCATCTAAGTCCTAAGCCTTTAAATAATAAGCCTATAAATTGAAGCTTTGCAAAGTCATATGTTTTATCCAAAAGAAGTTGTTTGAGGTTTTTTTCCCTGGGGAAAGATAAATACTCATCCCCAACACAAATGCAATCCAGTGCAAAAGAGTTGAGTCTGTACCCTAAAGGACTAACAGACCCAGTGAAACATCTGCAGAATTTTACTAAAGGGCAAAAACAATCTTACATTTCCCTACCTGGGAACTCAGATACAAAAGCTCTATTTAGAATGAAGAATGTCCCAATGTGATAAAGTTACCCAGAACAGAAAATTCCAGTGCAAATAATTTATGTAAGGCAAAATTGTAAGCAACTGAAAAGTATTGAACAGTCATGAGTAAAGGGAAGACTACTAGCACTGTCTATTATTATATCTGTAGAGACAAACCTACATATATATGAATGTGTGTGTGTGTATATATGCATATGCATATTATGAAGCAAAAAAATCTCTATTTGTTAAAAATAGAATTTCTAATTTAAGTCTGGTCTTTGGAACAGGAAGAGGCATTGAATTTGTATCTTGGTACATATTTTTATTTCTAGGTCTTGGTGTCCAGACCGAACACTTTCCCAAGCTAGGAAATATATTGCAAGTTCCTTGGATGAGAAATATACAGAACCAGTCATTTTGAACTTAGAAAAAACTTGGGAGGAAAGTGACACAAGAACACCTCTCATCTGTTTCTTGTCTATGGGATCTGACCCAACTATTCAGATTGATTCGTTGGCTCGGAAGCTTAAATTAGGTACGAAGTAATTATTCATTGTCATGTGTTAAGATACAGGAGGATAATGTAAGTAATTTCAGAGATTTTTTTTTTTTTCTGAAAAATATTTCTTAAATTCTGTTGCATTACTGATTGTTCCTGAACCATCATCTTAGAGATAAAATAGTATTTTTAAATAAAAGATGTTATGCTGAGCATCATTCTGTATGCAGTTGAACAGTAATGTTTTCAGTTCTTTTTTTATAAATTGTTATCCTCCTTCTCAGTTGTGATATTTTTTAAATGCCTAACTATAAGACAATATTAATTTTTTTTTCTTTTCTGGCATGGTGGCAATACTGTTTTCTTGTTTTAACTCTTAACTGCAGGTAACGTAAAAATTGGCAATCTGCTTACAAGATTACTTTGTAACAAAAAATACCCACAAGATATGCATTCATATATTCTGGCCTTTATGGCTACATTATATGGAAATTTTGAAAAATTGTGCATACAAACTGAGTTGGAAGTAGATACATATATTCATTATATTAGACACATTAATATGTTCACAAATGCAATCTTAAAATTATGGATTGTGCTCAGTTATGTGGCTTCTTTACCTACACTTCAAAAAAATCTGGGTTCAGCTTTCAAATACTGTCGCTTACTTTCTTAAAATTTGGCACAAATTCCCATAGACAATAATAACATTAGTCTTTCACTTCTACAAACACTGTAAATATTGTGGATGTATATTTTAACATTATTTTACAAAGTTTCAATGTTTAGAAAATTTATACATAGTAGCATAGTATGATGGTGAAGAGATTCTGCTTTCATAAGTATGTATTTTTGTATAAAAATGTACTTAATTGTGCTGTATGTATCTGACTGTTTTTTTTTTGCCTGAATTTGAATTCTTGCTTTTTCTGAAGAATGTAAGTTCATTAATATATTGTCAAATATGTTGTAGAATGTAGGACCATCTCTATGGGTCAAGGACAAGAAGTTCATGCACGCAAATTCATACAGATGTCAATGCAACAGGTGGGGAAAAAAACACTGCAATATAAGTTGATTGTTTTAGCATTCTTTTACACCTCTTTTGCATGCAATCTTTAATATTTTGCATTTTTACCTTACTGTCAGGCATATTTCAGAGTAAAAAAAGTCTCCTTGAGTGCCTGAGCCTAAAAACATTCCACTGTGTGGTATGCATGTGCCAGGGGAGTCCAAGTCAATACTTCTGGCAGCAGTAATATTGAGCAGCTTTTCAAAGGTAGCACACTACCTTCTTATCACTATGCTGTTTTCCAAAGGTAAAAGGACATCATGTCCTAGTTCTATTCTGCAGGACTTGCAGATCTCACCTGTTTACTGGAATTCTTTTTTTATTCTTTTTTCCCTCCCCTATGAGAACTACCTAGAAGTTGCATAGTTTCTACTAAATAAAATGGTGAGTGCACACATAGCCTAAAGCTGTAGATGCAGAAGGGTGTGCTGGCTCCTAATACTGCCTCACATTTTCCTCACATCTGTGCTAGTGAGAGGGCTTCTTGCTCACCAGTAATTGGGTTTAGTTCTTTGTTTCTTTAGTTGTCAATCCTTTTGGCTTTGAGTCCTAGGATGTCTAAGAATTTCCAAACAATATTTAAGAATTTCTCTCTTAAATATTGTAGTGTATTTTATTATGGCAGATAATATTCTCAAACAGTAAAAACATGAGAAGTCTAACAGCAGCTCCAGAAAGATGGTAATTGACACCTCAAATACAATATAAAAGTTACAGTGTAAAGGTAGCACAGTCTGGTCATCTGGAAACTTCAAAGAGTTGTGGACAGTGTTGCAAATGAAGACATACAGCCAGAGTTGCCTGTAAACTCAAAATACTGGGAATTAGTCTTATTCCAGTATTCTGAAGGACTAGAATATCTCTACTTATAGAGAGTAGAAGACTGCAAGAACTGTGTTGATAACTGAAATACATTTTTCATCTGACCATAACCAACAGTTAGTCCTTACTAAACCAGTACAGCACTGCTCGTAATAGTCACCTAAAGAAACCTGAACTGACCTGTGTTCACTAAAAGTTTTGACTGGTACCACATTACCTATTTGTTAATCCGTATACACTTTCATACCTACAGTGGGAGTATTCATCAAAAGTTAGATAAAAAGTTAAAGATGGATTCATTATGAGATTTAAAACTTAACTCCTCACAATATATCTGAAATCCATTAGATCCCCTGGGTCTCTGTCCTCACCCATGAGAGTTCTGGAAGGAGAAACGGTGAAAATGAGATCACAACACAGAACACCACTCTGCAAGAACAAACGTATTTTTGAGACTGTTGCAGATTCATTATCAAGATTATTTCAGATTTCCATCTGAACTAAACAGTTCTTTTGTCACTTTATTCTCCAATGTTTAATCACAATGAGATGAGGAAATGCTTCTTTCTTTAGACTTCTGCAAAGTCCTGTCCTCTTAATCTGATAGACTGAAGTGCTTCAGAGCTTTTCCAGGACTTCCCATCTTTCCTGCAGAAAAAAGAAAAGGCCAGGCAGTATCAGTTCAGGGAATTCCAATTGTATTGCCTGCTATCTGTGCGATATCTTCACTTGAAAAAAAAAAAAAATCTCTTGCCAGATGATATTGATTCATTTGACCATAGTACAGTCTGCTTCATTTGTGTTTCTCTGTTATGGACAAATATAATACTTGTATATGGCCTTTACTGCACAGTTGATAGACATTAGTGTATAATCCAAGGTTCTGTAGCTAATGCAGCCTTGGTTATGAAAGTTCTCTATCTTGTATCCCAGTAACCCCTCAAGTCCTACCAAATGTTGTGACACCAGTACTGGAATATAGATGTACACCACTTCAGAAAAAGAGAAAAAAGAAATCTCTTTATAGCAGGTGGCATTTTTTATGATGTGCAAATGCACACATACATCTCTCATACTTCTTTGTGTTTGTATGTCTAGAATGGTCATCATAAACTTCCAGTTCATTGAAAGGGTGAAAACTGGGGTGTCCCTGACTTTCTTTGCCCTCAATTGAAACCACAAGGATACTTAAAACAGCACTCCAGCAGAGCTTCTAGTAACAATTTCTGAACTAAATGCTTTGGTGGTGTACATGCTTTGCAGAGGGAGGGATATGTGAACGTCATATTTGCAAGAACAAAACGGAAATAGTGAATATGAAGACAAATATCTGGATTTTTTTCCTACCTCTGGCCAAGAGTATATAATTTGATTAAAACTGCTGTGCTGTGTTACAGGTAGATAATTTTTAAGAACTGAGCCTGATTCATTTGGAAATGTGACAAATTGATTAAAGATCTTCCTCAAAAAAAGTAGTTCCCCATAAAAGAAGGAAACCTGTTCATTTAATCATTTTTTTTTTAATATCCATCAGTTCACCATAAATATTTCAATTATATTTTGTCACCAAATGTTATTTATTTCTTTTTAAATGAACTAAAACAAAATTGCCAAAATGAAATTACAAGCTGTAATGAAATCCACACATCACTGTTTAGAACTGATTAAATAATGCTCCATTTTAATATCAGGCTTCTGATTCATCAGGCTTCTAAAGTGATGCTACAAAAGCTGATTGAATTTAAACTCATAAGCAGAAGTGGAGAGAGATAATCAAAATAGAGCTTTCATACAACTTGAGAGCTGAATAAGATTGAAATTAATATGTGGAGGTTGAATTTCATACATATGCATTTATTGCAGATAAACTAATTGCAGCTGAAAAGTTTTAGACTCTTGTTACCACCTCTTTACGCTTACTTTAGATTATGTTATTAACAAATAAGTTTAAAAAAAAGATGTATTCCTTAGATTTCAGCTGTTACTTTTCCAATCACATTCTTTTGGATCTGATGGCAGGATTGCTTATCACTGGTGTTTTGCTGGGAGAGGACAAGAATTACTTCTTTTTGCCACTAGGTAGCACTGATACTTTACTTAGAATATGGGTTCTGGTTATGTTATTTTCATTGTGAACAATAGGATGTGGAAATAACTTTTGCACTAACTTTTCCTATTTGCTTTAACTGTGCCAATACAAAATCAAATGATAATACATACTCAGGAACAGACCAAAAGTCAAAAAACTCAAAAAAACCAAAATCAAAACCCCAAACCAAAAAAACAAACAAACAAAAAAAACCCAAACCCAACATGCAAGACCAAATTTGATTCTAATAGAGACAGCTGGTTTTAGCATTATGAATAACTTGTTCTACATTTTATATGGTAATAGTCGATATTCTTATTTAGGGAGGATGGGTGTTACTTCAGAATTGTCATCTTGGACTGGATTTTATGGATGAACTACTGGAGACGCTTCTTACTGCTGAGATACAGGATGAGACGTTTCGAGTTTGGATAACTACTGAACCACATCCTAAATTCCCAATTACACTGCTACAGGTTTGTTCAAATATTTAATTCAGGTACCTCATGCCATCAAAATTATTCAGATTAAGTGTGTAAATAGCAATTAAATAAATGGGGGAGGGGGGGAACCAAAGCCCAAGAAAAAATGAACTTACTTTACAATGCAAATATCACTTTAAACAGGAAGGTTACTTACCAGTAACTGGAAGTTCTCGAAGATGCGTTATGTATGTGTGAATTCACACTAAACTATCAGGCTTTACCTGTATCCCTTTTTGCACAACCAGACATGTTTGTGAACAGAGTAATGTCCACAACTGCTCTTAGACTCTTCCACATTTCCCTATCTGAAATAAAGGATAAAGGGCACAGAATGCACATGGACAGCACATGTCAAAGAACATCATCTACCAAGAATTTACCTGTTTTTCTTTGGATAAACTATAAATGGTTGTTCTGTAGATCTCAAGAAGACATTTTTCATCAGTACCAGGAAAATTGCCTAAACTCTTACAAAGTGCATTTAAGTCCTGCATCTTCAAGGGGTTTATGAATAGTGGGGTATATAAACATAGAGTTTGCTAAAAGTGAGAATACAAAACTGAGAGGGTTGCTAGATGAATCTTCACTGCATTTTTCTCAAATGTTTCACAAGTGATTTCCCAGTCTATAGGGTTACGTTACCTGTTAAAATATTAACATATTCAGGATTCCAGAAAATGAATAACTGACAAACCAAAGGTCAGCTCTGTCTCAGAAAAAAAGAGAGAATAATTTGGGGTTTTTATACAGAACATTCATCAAAAACTGAACAAGATATCCTTTGAAATGTGGAAAGACTGGTTAGCAAGTGTTCCTGTTCAGTCCAACATCCTAGTGTGTTCATGTGCAGCAGATAGGTCCTTGCAGAAGGCTGGAGCTCATCTCTGAGACAGCTTGCCTGGGCTCTGCAGCCCAGAAATAAGTTTGTGAGACTGAAGTTGAAAAGTCATTCTTTAAAAATAATTGAAGTTCTTTACCACAAATATGGAGATAGTAAAACTGCCAGGTGAAGCACATATTCATCAGTGTTTTCCATTAAGTGTCTCTCAGAAGTAGAAACACTTCAGAGCCATGCTTGTGTTCAGCCTGTGGGTAGCCTGGCGTTTACTATCCTTTCAATGCATGCTGCCATGTTACCCAAGCCAGTCAGACAAGTAGTTACTGTTGGAGCAGAAAAATACCTTTTAATTTGGGCTCCTCCAGCATTTGAAAGTGTCTCAAGGTAAGGCTGGTCTGTGTCTGAACTAATAGATTCAAGTGTGCCCATGAACATTACCCAGCACTGGAATGCAATAGTCCATAGGGGTAAGTAGTTACAACATTCTCTGACATGAAAACCTGTGCTAACTAGCACTCTTTCAAATAATTTGCAGGCATGGTTTGACAATTAAAATTTTGTAGAAACTATTCCCATTAGGCAGTTTGCATGAAACTAAGGGGCAGTATTCTAAGGGGCTATAGCAATTTACAACCAGAAATGCAGATTCCATGCCTGCTGACCAGAGTGCCCAGAACATTCTCAGGTGAATCTAACTTACTGCTGCAGACATAGCCACAGAGTCCAGGGTAGCCAATGTGAACACAAAGATCTGATCTGAGGCAAGGTGGGATTTCTTTGTATTTACTGTGAAGTCCTAGGACCAGAAATACAGCAGAGTTCGTGTCATCTGCTCTGGATAGTTCTCTTCTATCATTCAGTCATTGAATTAGGGATAGAGAACCATATGATGCCTTCTTAAAAGCATGGCAATTGCTTCCAGGTTGTTGATGAAAATTCTTATATCCATGGACAAGTGTCAGTGATAGTTCTGACCAACATAAACTGAAGGTCTATGTTCAAAATCTTAAAGTAATGTAAATTCTAGAGTTTTGTGGCCTACTCTAATATGTACTCCTTTCATGCAGTTTATTGTAAAACTACATATCAACTTTGTATCTACAATGCTTCAACCATTTAAGTTTTATTTATAACTAATAGTTGTGACATTTTTGACGTTGCTGGTTTTGTTCAGTAAACAAATCCAATTCCTTTATCTTTTTCACATGACAGATTGCTATAAAGTTCACAAATGAACCTCCCCAAGGTGTACGTGCCAGTTTGAAAAGAACATTTTCTGGAATTAATCAGGATCTGTTAGATGTTAGCAATATGCCTATGTGGAAACCTTTGCTTTACACTGTAGCCTTCCTGCATTCTACTGTTCAGGTATTCCTTATAAGGTTTGCAAATAGTGTTAAAATATATGGAGTTACTTTAACAGAGGTTCTTGACAATAAACATTCTGATATTTATTGTAGCAACAACATACATGTTGCAGGGCTGAAGCTTTAATTTCTATCATCTGTATTTCAAGGATTTTATTCTCTTAATTGTTTTGTAAATTTTACACAATTTTCATACAATGGGCATTTAGAATAAGGATTTTTCTCATCTAATTTTAGCTGTCCAAAAGTTAGTCATTTGGAAGTAAGGGAAAGGTTTAAGAGAAAAACCTCTCTGTAGTCAATAGAAATAGATAAGCATCCTGAAAAAGAAAATAATCTTATCTGTCTTAGCTGTCTCTCTATAAAAGAGTGAATCATTTTCTGGATATATATCACTCCTTCTGTCCACTGATTTTAAAGGCAATCCAGATACCTACCTTAGAGTAGCTGTCTACTTTCTAGATGGCTAAAATTAAATAAAATTCTATCACTTAGTGTCCTGATTTTATTGTATTTTTATCTGTGTCATTGTGTTTTCTACATTAATTCCGATGTGAATACAATATCTATACTTTGTACTTTGAAGATATGTAAGTTTTGAGATCACAATAAATACCAACATTTTGAGTTCTCTGAATATACTTTCTTTTCAGCAAGGATCTCAAAATAGTTCTAAAATGCTATTTAAGCCTTAGGGTCTATTGAGCTGCTTGTATTTTCAGTGTAGCAAAGATGATGAAAGACAAAGACAATTTGTTGAGGTCCCTATTCTGCATTATTTTCCTCCTTCTACCTTTTTATGAACAGTGAGAAAGTTGTTCTGTGTACCGCCTCAGGATTATGCTGTTCTTGTGGAACTAGAAGACCTAAGCTTATTCAACCATCAGTACTTTTAAAAAATATTACAGCTATTCATCTCTTCAGAAAATTTATTTATGAATTGCCAATCAGCAAGCAATATATACATTGCCCTGCCCTTAAACTGACCAATTCCTAATATCCTTTGGTGACAAGATTGCTATAATAAATATAGCTTAAGAAGTAATTCAGAGAATTTGGCAGAAAATCATTATACCTTTCTGCAGGCTATTATTGGTTAATGCTGTGTCATCTACTTATAAACAATACCTGATTTTGAAAAAAATAAAAGTTTTTTTTCAGTTCTAGTTCTTTTTAAATATTGTAGCTAAGGTATCTAAATATTACTTAACTAGATGTCAGAGACTGTCAGTCATTGTTGACCTGGTAATGTAAACTCTAATAAATATGTTATTACTTAGTTAATTTTAGAATGTCAGTATTACACTGTTTATTCATTTAATAAGCATCAGCACTACTCCGCAATTTAATTCTTAACTTCTTGCGTTAATTTTTTCTACATTCTGAAAAAAAAATAACCGAGAGATGTAACTGAGGTGGTTAAAATAAAGAAATCTAATAGTGTTGGATGTTTAAAATGTTTGGGCTGCAGATTATATTCTCTTACTTTTATAGTCAACTATTTTTCTGTTCCTGCCAGTGTTATAATTTTATTTTCAAATATGTATGCAATAATAAATGTGAATAATGTAGTGATGGCAGCCTTATAATAAAGTTGTGAATTTTGAAAAACATATATTAAAACAATACAGTGAAACAGTAAGACAAAGTGGCAACCTAGAAGCCTTTGGATAAGTGCGCATTAATACAGGAGCTTGAAAAATTGAAACTATCATTAGTAGTCCATATATGTAGAAAAAAGTCAAAAACTGTAGAACTCAGAATTGTTGAGTGTGCTGAAAATGCAGAGATACAGTAATTCTTTAAATTAATTCCTTAATATAAAAATCTGATCATCCACACAGACATGAGACATTTCAAACCTATGACTGATACATTGATTAGTAAAGATAGCAATAAATGATTCTGTTGATTTTTCTATAAATATTTATCCCTCGTGGTGTAACTTAATAATAAACTTTGGTTTTTACTGATGTGTACGAGGCACACAACTGCCTCCTAGGCTAGCTTTTTTCTTCAGATCAATTATTTACTCCACTATTATTATTATTATTATTATTGAACTTTAATAATGAAACAAAATTATATGTTGTTTCATAAACATATTTGGTTTCAATTGTATTCCTAAGGAACGACGCAAGTTTGGGCCTTTGGGTTGGAATATTCCCTATGAATTTAACTCAGCAGACTTTACAGCCAGTGTTCAATTTATACAAAATCACCTAGATGAATGTGACATCAAGAAGGTGAATACTAAAATTTGCATACAGTATATTTAATTGCTTTGTATAGCATCTGTAATTGTTTTTTTCCTTCATGTTACTATTTATAATAGTATATTCACTGCTATTCTTTCAGTGCAGCGTCTAATGATCAAAGTTTCAGATTCTATGTAAGACAGTCAAGCTGAAATATTTTGTGTGCTATTATCCATGTAAAACTATGTAGTAGTTAAGAATTTCAGAATTTCATCTTGGTTTTTTCAGTAACATATCTAAAATATTAATAGGTCTATACAATATGTGTTTTGGAAAGGGAGCTAAAATATTTGCAGAGTTTGACAGAGCCCATTAAACTTCTCTATGGCTGCCATTTGGTCTTCTACTATTTGCCAGGGAATAATGTAATGGCCATTCCTTGCCAAGCAGCACTTTGTCAATAGGGAAAGCTGAGAAACTGGGGGAAGGGGAATACAAAAAGAAAGGAAAGGCAGTAGCAGCTGAGAGTGATTTCAGGTCACACAAGAAAGAGAGAGATATATTTCTAATAGCAGGATCAAACCCAACTCTACGATAAAATTATAGAGCTGAGCTCAGAAAATACCTTAGAAATAAAATATTACTTTTTTCTTGCAACAATGATCTTTTCAGCTTACATTTCTGAGCCCTGTTACTTCAGATGATATCAAGGCTGGATACCTTCTTCTTACATGTTATAACTACAGTCTTTTATTTACTTGCACCCAGGGGATATCATGGAACACAGTACGCTACATGATTGGAGAAGTACAATATGGAGGCCGAGTCACAGATGACTTTGATAAGCGTCTTCTTAATTGTTTTGCAAGGGTGAGAGACCTTGAAAATACAGCTATTTGTAATTTTTATTGGCAGCTGCAATAGAGAAATCAGAAGACCTTCTTTCTGCTGAATATCCACTTCTTCACCAGTTTATAAAACTCTTCAGAGTAAAATGAACTTTTCAAAACATTCATTGGCAGTGAGGTTCTTCCCCTTGGTTTCTCTTTAGTGAGGAGCAGAAACTATTAAAAAGACTGGAACACAAACTTAGAAGACATAGCTTTTAATGATTTACTCATGTATTCAAGTAAAATTCTATGTAGTAGCTAAAACAAGAACCCTAATTCTCCAATAAAAATGAGGTAAAAAAGACTTTTGAGTAGCAAACTAATTGTGTTTTTTTCCTCTGGATTTTTCACAGGTATGGTTTAATGAAAAGATGTTTGACAGTACTTTCTGTTTTCACACTGGATATAAAATTCCAGTGTGCAAAACCCTGGAACAGTATTTTGAGTACATCCAGTCTCTCCCTGCCATGGACAGCCCAAAGGTCTTTGGTCTCCATCCTAATGCTGATATTATGTAAGTAGGTCTCAACATATTGAAAACAAAAGACCCTTTCTTTTAGTATTTGGAAACAAATCCCTACAAAATGCTTAAGTGAAGTATATTTTTCATAGGAAATCTAGGATTCATGTGACTGTCACTATTGAAGTGGAACACTTGATGTGTATGTACATGATTATGAATGCAGTATCTTCAGCTACATTTTACATGCTCTTTTAGAGCAGTCTGAATTCTTATTACTTGCTCCTCCTGGGTTTGGAATTTTTTCTAAAATCTGAAAGCATTATAAAACTTTTATATGAACACATTATACAAGGTTCCATACAGTTCAACTAGAGAAAGTTTCTAATGTTTGCCTTCTGTTCCAAGTAGTATTCTTTTGTGCACACTCGTTAAATGATTCTCTGGATTGTCATCTGGTTTACAGCACACCTTTGGATGTACTATAATCTTTTGTTGCCATCAGTCCTGCCATTCCCATTGTTTAAAAGAGGTTTTTCAACCTCACCAAGTAGTAACCCCATTTAAAATTTTATCTTTGACTTAATTAATTTTTTCATTATAAATAATGTGTGTAACAGGTTAGCTTTTATTTCCTTCTAATGTTACATGCCCTGTGAAAGGGTATGAATCCTCATCATATTTTTTCACTGAAGTTCTTAATAATTCTGCCATGAATTATTGCATTTTCATTATGTCCACATTCATTGTTTCTTAACACAGATTTTGTATTTTTAAACAAAACAAATGTTATTCAAATGTCCAGCTGCTGTGGAAACCTATTATCTTCTAACACTTTTGGACAAAACAAATTTGAGACTGAAAAATTGTGGGAAATTATTGAGAGGCTGATGCCATATCAAAAGCCCAGTATTCTAAGCATGCTGTGAATACACAGTTTTATTGTCAACTCTGCCTAGCACCTACCATTGTAAATATATACTTCTGAAGAAAAGAATCTAAGAGTAGATTCTGTTTCAAGTCATTCTCTGATACTTGCAAGACCTCCCTTCCAGAACTTACTAAAGAAGAGCCAAGATTTTAGAGAGAATTTAACAAAGTCCTAAAGAGGGACATGTTTCATATCCAAAATTAGGTTTGTAGGAGGGCTAATTTATAGGACGAAACTTGAGACTTACAGTGTTGGGGGAGCTTTAGTGAGTAGGAACAACTCTTTCATTTCTCTCTAGTACCGAGTTTTTCTTCCACTTGGTACATGAGCATATTCCTGCTACTTTAGTCTTTTTTCTGGAGATTTTCCTTTGTGGGTATTTCTTTAGAGTTTGGGGAAAATGTTCAACAACTTCATGCTTTTTTCTGTGCCTTATCACAGTCTGTTACAGACAACTATGCACACGTACTGTCTGTCTGAATTTCATCTTTGACATGCAAACAAAATGGATTAGCATCCCATACAATCCCATAAAAAACTGCATTCAAATTCTCCTTAAACTATCCTATCAAGTCATCTCACATGCAGAACACTAACTGCTAGAACTGGAACCCTGAGACAGTCAGGACCTCTCCATGTTGCTATTACTGAGGACAAGAAAGACCTTATCTCCCACTGGTTTAGTGGGACAGTTTTCCAGTTCAGCCAAAGCTTGATCCATTGGTTCCAACTGTAAGACTTCACTGAATGTCAATACTTTGATCCACTTGGGATTAACACCTGAAGTCATTGCAACTGATTTTAACTTGCTGTGTGAACCGTAGGCTCTGCAAAGGCAACATAGTTCACAGGTACCTGAGTAGGCAAGGAATATTCTGACAATCTGTCAAAACCCTTTCTCCAATTGGTTCCATACTGAAACCTTAAATCTAACTGAATTTTTGTAAAGTTACTGAAAGCTGTTATTAACCAACTGAAGAGAGAGCAGAATCTTCCATTGTCCCTTGGTGGATGTGAGATTTTGAATACCCTGTTGCAACAGATATTGCTGTTTTCTGCACAAAGCTGAGGTAATGTTTCTGTCAAACTACATTGGTTCTTTGTTTTAACTTCCAGTCCAGAAAAATCCTGGTGGCAGAGACTCCAGCTATCAAACTATGATAGGCTGTTAAATCCAAACTCTGGTAGAAAATATCCTTAATAATACTTTTTGGAGCAAATCAAAATCCATAGAAAATTCCTTCTTTTTTTCTTCTTATGACACAATTTGCTTTGCAATATTTCTTCAGGGAAAAACAATATAAAGAGGTATAAAGTGCTTTATCTTACATATTCACTTTTAGGCAAAATTGACACTGTAAATGAGACTCATTTAATGTTGCTTTAGCTTCCTTTACAGTTACCCAAGACTTCCTTTACTGTACTAGAAAAAACAGGTCCCTGTAAAGTGCAATTCCTCTGATCACAAAGCAGACATATAAAATACATGAGCTGAATCATGCTTCTTTGCATTACCTATAACGGCAATCTAGACAAACAGCTGCTATGTAGACATCTACACTTAGATGTCTAAATCTGATCAGGGACACCCCATCGTGTATATCTGATTTCCTTCCCAGGAACACGGTACTTCCTCTACAAACCTATGCAATCTTTTTTACATTACTGTTTGCATCTATACTTCAACTTTTTATTTGCAATGCAAAGGAAAGTCAGGTTTTCCAAAGCCCAGAAAAAATTTGTTTCAGAGTGTCTTTTATATTCACTGTGTCTCACTGTTACGTGAGTGAAATTTCTTGCTTCTATTTTCTCCTCACTTCCACACTGGAATATTATTTTTAATTAGGTATACATTGAGATGCATCTTTTTGTCTTTTCTATTTTTATTTACAATAGAAGTCTACTTGTTCAAACTACTATTGCTATTCATGTTTTCTTTTTATACAAGATTCAGATGATCATTTCTCCTCTCCAGAAGATTCCTAGCTTGTGTCATTGAAGAAAGGAATATTACTTCCCTTTGATTCTGCTTCTTTGAAGTTATTTTTCAAAAACGGTTTGCTTTTCCTCCAAGTTTGCATATTGCCTTCTAGATTTGTGGAAAGGCCATTCATTTTTGTATTTCTGTAATATTTAATTGATGTAATAATCATGGGACCTATTCCTTCCACACACAAAAGTCTGACAGCAGTATTGGAAGAACAGTACTTGCAGTGTGAAGATGAAGGTTCGCATCTCCTTCATCACTAGTTGTTAGATCAGTGAGACCCAGAGTAAGGGTTACAACCACCAGTACGTCATCCAAATTAGGAATGAAGCCATGGGTCCAAGAGAAGTTTGATTTTATCCAACTTTTCTATTCATATGTGGTCTTGAATAAATCTATCATTCTTTAAATGGAGCCATAAATGGAAAAAAGCTTGAGAGTTTTGCCAGACAAAATCCCCACCATTCCTACATTCAGAAGCAGAAATTATATCCTCTGAGAAGCAAACTGCCAGTAGGATTTAGTCTATTTTTCTGCTTTAGGGTCTTTATAATTGCATTCACAAACAGTTTATGTTGAAATGCTGTAGTATTGAGTTTCTGTAATCTTACGATACTATCTCCAAAGCTTAGATGCTTTAGGACTTCATGTGTTCTAACGTGTGGCACAATCCTTCATTTCATTTCTTACATAATTATGTATGACAAAGTAATAGGAGATGGGTGTTAGATGAAGGTTGAAAAGTAAAACTGACATGCAAAATTATGCCTTGAGTCAGTATAAATTTACATTCCGAGTCAGACTTCGGCTATGTTCGTCATGTAGCTGATTCCATAAGATAAAAGTAGGCAATGCCAGCACTGCAGTACCAACCCATACGTGTTTTCTTTCTTACTGCCTCTTGTAGCTCTATGCCACTAGATAGCATTATAACAAAAGTATTCCTATAATTCTGCTTGTGTTGAAGGACTGATGTGGTCTACTATCTATTACCATCAAATGCCACATGAATTTAATTTACTTTTTTTATTGACTCAGAACATAAATTTACATTAGCACTGCCCATGCTGTACTGTGGAATAGAACGTTTTAATCTCCAATGTTGTACATCTAGCAGCTTTTATCATTACTCCTGAAAATACCTCAAGGCAGAATGAATTTACTATTTAATAAAGCGGCAGCTTGCAGAGTTATGCCTCCACCTTTTCCTTCTGCATTCCACTTTTAGGAAGTAACTAAATGTGGGAAATATTCTTCCTTGTTACAAAACTTTTGTTGCTTCTCCCAGCAAATAGCTGTTTAGAAGTTCAGGCATATACCATTTTCTTCCCTTTCCTTAGAATCCCTAGAAATCCTATGACAGGTTTTTCTGCCACCTATATTCTCAAAGGTTGAGAAGCAGCCTGTGGAACTCTTTCTTCTTCTTAGCCCTGAATTAGAAAAACACACCCTGTTACACACTTGCTGTAGAGGGAACTTCATATTCTTTACAACCATGGAAAACCACATGTTCACTATCAGTGTGTTCAGCTTCGCGCAAGACACAAAGGGAAACAATTTCTCTTGGGAGTTTTGATTTAAGCTGGTGACACACTGTGTTTTCTCAACTTTCAAGTTTTGTGTTCTACAGAGTTTCCTTTTAACTATTAAAAAATCCTATGTAATTTATAACATATTTCTTACCCTCTCAGATACCAAAGTAATACAGCAGCTGATGTTCTAGATACTATTACCAACATTCAGCCTAAAGAAAGTGGTGCAGGACCTGGAGAAACTCGTGAAGCAGTTGTTTATCGTTTAGCTGAAGACATGCTAGAGAAACTTCCTCCAGATTACATACCCCATGAGGCAAGATATTTTCTTACTGTTCTCTCTGTTGAGTTTTCATGTAAGACATTCCAAAAAAGAAACCCTGAACTGTAAAGAAAGATCGTATAGCTAGTAGCAGATTCAAACAAGGAGCCGACATCTTTATCACTATCAGTGTGAATCCATATAAGATTTTTTTATTTAAAATCAAGACATCTAACAATTGATCATGGAGATATGACATGGAGACTATGCTTGGATTTCCAAAGCTGCATGTGAAAACACAGAAAAAAATCAGTCTTGACTTTTTGTGACAGCAGTCTCCTGGGCCTTCTGGGTGAAGTCCTATTCTAGCAAAATCATGAATAATTGGGTAGTATCAGACAAAAAATGAAAATAAAAACTGCAACAGTTTTAAGGGGATAAATGTTAGCTGAATAATGTGAAGTACAAGTCTACTATTTACTTTTCTGAACACAAGAAAGTTAAGATGTCATATATGACAATAGTATTTCAACATTTCAGATTTAATTAAATTCCTTCTTCTGTGCTCCTATATTTTAGGTAAAAGCTCATTTAATTAAAATGGGACAACTTAACTCTATGAATATTTTTCTTCGGCAAGAAATTGACCGAATGCAAAAGGTGATCACAATACTCCGCAACAGTTTGAATGATCTTAAATTAGCCATAGAAGGAACTATTGTTATGAGTGAGGCAAGTAAAAGCATATTTACTATGTATGGAATATTCTATTTAAACTATTACCTTGATTGCTTTAGTTCATATATTATAATTTCATTCCTTCAGAATTTGAGAGATGTACTTGATAATATGTATGATGCTCGAATTCCTCAAGTATGGAAAAGAGTATCTTGGGATTCTTCAACACTTGGCTTCTGGTTTACTGAACTTTTGGAAAGAAATAATCAATTCTCTACCTGGATATTTGAAGGAAGACCAAATGTGTTTTGGATGACTGGATTCTTTAATCCACAAGGTAAGGCTACTGAAAGGACTTGGATAATAATATGTTTAATCATAATTTAATGGTTCTTACTACATATCTAATTTAATATTACACCTAGAAAAAATGTTTTCATCACTGCCAGAATATGATATAGAACCCAAGATGATAAATGGATTCAAAAAAGAGATTAGATAAAGTCATGGGAAACAGGTCCAATGCTAGCAATAGACATGACTGTCCAAACTTAACCTTTGAGTTGGGAGGTCCCTAAGCTCCAGATTGCCAGAATCTGGAAGAACACAGAAGGGAAAGGATTTATGTGCCATTTTGCTTGTTGTAATATTATTTCACTAAGCATCCATCTTTGTCTAGTGTCAGAGACAAGATGCTTGTACAGATTGCCTTTTAGTGTGACCCAGAAACAGTTTTTATATTACAAGAAGCAAAACATTTAGTTAACAAATGAAATACTTTATCTTGTTGACATATTGTAGCATGATATGATACAGCTTCTAAAGAAAATATACTTAATAATAATGATACAGCTTTTAAAGAAAATATGCTTTTCCTGTGGTTTCAAACTGTTTAACTCATTCCAAACTGTAAATTGCAAGTATGGAAGAGCTTTAATCTAGAGCAATATGTTATTTATATGCTGTACAGTAGCAACAGAAAGAATTTTTTTTACAGTAAGAACAATAATTCACTGGAACAACCTCCCCAGGGACATGGCAGAGTCTCCATTGCTGGAGGTTTTCAAGATGCAACTGTACAGGGTGCTAGATAATCTCATCTAAGATCTCTTTCCCATGAAATGTTGGACCAGGTGATCTTTCAACGTCCCTTCCAGCCTGGGGTGTTGTATGATTCTATGAACATGCAACTATGGCAGAATTTATAGCAGTTATCTATCTTTCACAGAGAATCATCAAACTTCACAGATTTCTATTTCACAGATTACTTAATGAACAGTTTTTCCAAATTAATCAGAGATATACTGCAAAGTACAAGTAAACGTTATCTATCATCATCTGTTATAGCTTGATATATTTATCATTTTATAGGAAAGAGGAAGAAAAGCAAATTGTAACCATCTTCACAAGTAACAAAACCTGTTACCTTATTAGATGCATGTTCATAGAAGAATCTCATTTAATCTACACAACTGTCCATACAAAATTCTCGTGAGAAGCTTCTCCCATGTAACAGCTATGAGGTGTTTTTTTAATTAGGATTAACCTCTGAAATCCTTGAATATTTTGAGTTATCTTCACTTTGTGATGCTTCTATTCTTACTGGCCTTTCTATGACCAGGACTGTAAAAAGTACTAATATCAAAGTGGTTTTTGGAGTCACTCTCAGAAGCAGTTAAGGTGCCTGGAGCACATCCAAATTATCATTGAAAGATGGTATTGAGACGCCAGTCAAAACATCATTGCATTGGTATCATAAATGGCACAGCTGGTAAGCTTACTGATCTCTGGTGATTCAAGAGCAGTACTCACGGAGATGTAAAAGAAGATAATGGACCAGATTCTTCTGACAAAAGAAAATATTTAGCCTAATAGCAAACAAACCTGACACACAGGTGGTCTTAAACTTGATGATTGCTTCAACCTCTGTGTTCCAAAAAAATAGTCCTGTAGATGGAGAAAGTAGTCTGCTCAGCGCAAAAGGTGTGCTGTCGCTAGGGGTGAGGTAAGTATAGTTTCTGTATTCATAATACTGCTCACCAGGAAATTCTGAGTAAATTGAATCATACAGTAAAGTTTGAAAATTGACTGGTGTGAGGCAAATCAGAAATTGGACTATCCTGTGCTGCCATTGCAGAAAATCTAGACTGATTGCACTGGTAAATCAAGCTTTAAATCTATCATAGCATTGGCAATTGGCAAATACATTATAATGATAAAACACAAGGAATGTATTTTGTCAGTTTAGTGGAAAAATCTATTTATAGTACTATAAAGTATCACCAATAATTGTATATATACCTGTTGTGATTTTTTAGCAATTATCAATGTTTGCCTCCTATAAATTATCAGTATTAAGGGAGAATGTATGTTAGTGGTGGTGCAATATTCCATTCAGTGGATGTGGCACTTGGAATGAACAGGCTTATGAAAAAACAAATATCATGTTATAGAGATATAATTAATTTTTAGCAAAATTTAGAAGCCTAGATCACACTGTTTTATTTTTATCAAAATATATAGTATTTGAGAAATGAATACATGTTCAAGTACTACATTAATTGTATTTATATCACATATAAATATTTTAGCTGTGACAAATATCTTAGCTTCTAGTGTGCTTTGTCCTAATCAGCATGTTAAACCACTTATTAAATCTTGAAACACTGTCTTCTGCTGCATGCCCATGTACTTTCATGATTTCTCCCCTGGCTTGTCAGTATTTCGACTGGTGGTTTCACCTCCTTGTAGATACTTGACAGCCTACAAAATGCTAGTCATCTTTTCCTTTATGCCCTATCAAGAAGGAACAGATGCCATTTCATCTTTAAGTCTTTACAGTCACCACTTTTAAGTATGCAGTTCTCTATTGTTAACTTTTCTCTCTTCGCCTCAATCTCTTTCTGACAACTCCAAGTAGTTCTTCATCTGGTAGCCTAAAATAGCAGCTATTGTTTTTCTGGTGACGGCATTGTCATCTTCTGAGACACTGACTCAGAAACAACCAGGTATTTGCTACAAGTGTTTAATTTTTGTAGTTTTTTCCTTTATAACACATCCAAACCTCTTTGCTGCCCAGTTATTTGTCATCTTGTGCTTATACCATTCAGCCCTTTACCTCTCAAACCTTTTTTATTGCAAACCTTTGCAAAGTCTGTTCAAAACAATACTCAAAAAATCACCTAACTCACTGCTTGATTGTGTCATCCTCTACCTTCATTTCTGTCTAGGACTCCCTTTTTTTCACTAAGAAAACACAAATTTTTCATCCTTTGTAGGCACTGCCTTGTCTAGATTCCCCCCACTCATATAGTTATTTTTATTATCACATTCAGACACACCTTTTCTATTTTCCATCAGCAAAATTTATTTTATTTTTCTACTTCTTTCCTTTAAAATAAAAATTGCCTTTTTCCTAAGATGCCTTTATATAAATATCAGCTCACATAATTGATATCTTGTCTGCTTTCAAATTCCTTCTTGAAATACAAATCTACCGTCGATCCTATAGTTGATTGCCTAATGATAATTTGTAAATCAGTATCCTGAGTAAACATTTGTTAACTGAATAATTCAGTATCAAAAAAAAGTATATTCTTTCATGTGCCATTTAAAAATATTTTTCTTAGTGTAATGCATTCTATGCCACTTTTGTCATTTGTTCCTATTTTGGCCCCAAAGCAAAGTTTGCTATCATCAGTCAAGGTGCTCATTTTCAATAGAACTCTGAATATCTGTCTATCACATTTGTGCAGAACCATGCAGATAACTGAGCAAGATTTTTTTTTTTTGTCATGTGAGAGGTATACTAAATCTCTGGCTTAATTTCTCAAGGATTCCTGACAGCAATGAGGCAAGAAACAACACGAGCACATAAAGGCTGGGCTTTAGATACAGTTACAATACATAACGAAGTGCTTAAGCAAAGCAAAGAAGAAATCACAGCACCTCCTTCTGTATGTATGACATGCAAAGACGTTTCAGTATTAATTTTGGTATTTAGTTTATATTGTGTACCATTCAGTCATTTTGGATTGCTAGATGAAAATGTTACTATTGTCTTTACCTCACTGGTTTTGCTTAGCATAGAAGATATATAACAATAAGCATGAAGATTTTAATTTTTTATTTTGCAGTGACAAATTTTTTTTATTAAAATAACTATTTCATTGTACCACCTCTTGGTTTTTGGAATTTATAGTAAACTTTAGATCAAATTGTGTAGTGCATGGGCTCTATTAAACAACTTTTAGTGCCATCCATTTCAGTAGCATTATCTTCCAAAAAAGGATGATATTATAGTTTAAAATTAAATAGTTTGAAAAGATTCAATATCAGATTTTTTTTTTTACTATAAAACATATATTCCTTTTAATGGTTTAAGCCAATTACTCGTTTTACAAAATAGATGCTTTATTTTGTGTGATATATCTGCTTACTCTCCACACAGGAAGGAGTATATATCTATGGGCTATACTTGGAAGGTGCAGGCTGGGACAAACGAAATAGCAAACTCATTGAATCTACACCAAAGATCCTTTTTGTCCAGCTGCCTGTGGTGCATTTATTTGCTGTTAATAGAACCAGTCCTAAGGATCCCAAGCTCTATGTTTGCCCTCTTTACAGGAAGCCCAAGAGGACAGATCTGAACTATATTACAGTGATCTATTTAAGGACAGTAGTGTCTCCAGACCACTGGATATTGAGGGGAGTGGCTCTCCTGTGTGACATCAAGTAAACTGTTTTTCATACCGTAACAGAAACGGAATATATGCCACATGTAACCAATTACATTTGTAATTCTTCTATTGCTTTTTATTTGGTGGCCATCGGTCATTATACTATAACTGTCATTTCAGTCTCGGCTTAATGAATTTTTTTCTCTGCTTCCAGTAAATTCAGTTTGTCTTGGCTATTTGGTGATAGTTTTAAAGTAAAGTTTTCAAAATAAGTTCACTGATTGTAGTCTTTGATGTTTCCATTATATACTTTAAAAAGGAATGTTATTCTGCCAGTTTTTTGGGACTTTATCCTTAAGAATCTTAGAAGTATAGAAATGTAAAGCTTGTTTGCAGTCATGTAATGTAATAGGAAACAATTTATTACAGTTTGAATTTCTTACCACAATCCCTGACTCCTAATTCAAATTTTCTAATTAAAAATTGATTCAATAATGCAATTAATGTAAAATAAAATGTTGTTAAACTTTAAAAGAGAAAAACTTAGCTTTTTCACATTCTTTCTCATATACAGGTTTTAGCTTGTGTTTCAGAGACATATGATGACAACAGAAGACAATGTAGAACATAACAAAATTTAAGTTCTCCTAGACGCAAG